CTCTGACAAAATTCGTTGACACGTACCATAACTTAGTCCCAAGGTGTTACAGAGGTCTTGGATGGCCAGTCTACGATCTTGCAGAATCAGATCCCTAACTTTCGCGACATTTTCTGGTGTTTTGCCCGTTGACGGATGTCCCGAACGACCGTCATCATCAGTCAATGTTTGGCCATTTTTAAAACGCTTATGCCAGTTGTAAGTTTGTGTCTGGCCTAAACTGTTTTCACCAAAAACTTGCTTCAACATTTGGTGCGTTTCTGCAGCGGTTTTCCCAAGTTTGAAACAAAACTTTATACAGACACGCTGCTCTCTCAGGTCAGCCATCGCAAAATTGCAAACTCACGGAAACACAACAATGGAAATACGTTCACCAACAATAAACCCAACCACTCAACTCGACGCCGCTTGCCACACTGATTCAAGAAGGATGTGTGAGGAGACACCTAGCGGTATTTCAATGTACTCATGACCATTCGCGTGCAAAATTCAAATTTTGGAAACTTTTGGATTGCCCCATGTAAATGCTTTGTCACCTTCTTTGACACTGCTTTTAATTGTTAGGCCTGATGAAGTGTCAGAATTCTGTAATGATGGTTTTTCAACTGTTTAGTTTGCATTTTGAGAGTTATCTTCAGAGGTCTTCTGTCTTAATACTGAAAAGTGTTGTTAAATAACCTACCTAGAAAAGTGAAAATTAATAAAGGAAAGGGGAACTTTTCTTTTGGTGGTAGTGGCTCAAGAGGCTTATAGATTTCAGTGTAGAGAACAGATCCATGGCATTTATGAATAATTTATATATGGTATTTGTTATTGCCATGTCAGTATGATCTAAGGCACACAGAGTATATCATTGCCACAAAAAAAGAAAAAAAAAGAGGAGAGTGAAATGTTGGCTTTGTTTCAGCATAAATATTTTCATGGTGTTTATAGGCATTATATTAATATCATACTTAAGCATATTTCATGTGCATAGATTTATGGCTCGGCTGTTGCTGTTATGAACTTGAAGAAAATGCGTTTACATTTGATGTGCTTGCTTACATTATTATTTTCCATTTAATGAGTATCTTAACAATTGTTTCAAGTATATCTCATCATTTAGTGTTTCAAGGTAGGGTCACGGATCTCTGATCATTCACTGTTTGAAGATTCTGCAAAGAATGACACTAAGAGTCTAATTTCAGTACTAGTGTTGACTGGTGACTTTCCTTACATTGAAAGTGTACACTGTTATACTTTACTTTGTGACAGTTTTATGTAAGATTAGGAATAGTCAAGAGTGTAAAGTTCTAGTTATGTTTGGTACCTACAATAGACACAAGAATGTATTTGGGGTATATTGTAATTCTCATTTCTGTTCAAGTTAGGAATGCTGTATGTAATTTGTATGTTGGTGTTGAGGTCTGTGATTGGGTCAGGGAAAGATTGAAGACAGGTATTGTGGGTTGGCTGTCTGCTCCGCACATTGTCTTCCATCAACAGTTCAGGCTCATGTCCCTTTCTTTGGAACAGGGAGTTGTGTACTTCATTATTGTCCACTGTTATCATTCTTACCATTGATGTTAATAAAATAAATATTGCAGTAAATGTTGTAATTAATGTATTTATTTTAATATGATACAGTCATATGATCTCTCAGTGAAAATTCATAGGAGATCCAAGTATTCCAATAACAAAAGCAAGAGAGCAAGAGAGAGTAGACAGAACCAAAGCCAGATTACATTTGACAGTTGGAATGGGGAAAGACATGCAGAGAGGATGTAGCTGCTAGGCAGACAAGTGGGGAAGCATATGTTCATTCTTTCCATTGCGAAATTTTGGTGGTATACAAGTAGTACACGGTTAATTGCAGCAGTAGATAATTTTCTGTGTCTGGAGCTTCATATTTGGATCTGTAACATTCTGGAATCAAAAGCCCCAGTTAGCAATTTTTGGATTTCTGCGCAGTAGTATAGTTAGTTGAGGCACTATGCTACAAGCTGGAAGGTCACAGGTTCGAATCCTGATGAGGTCATTGGATTTTTTCAGTAGGCCTAATCTTTCCAGCCGCACTATGGCCCTGGGGTCGACTCAGCCTCTAACAGAAATGAGTACCAGGAATATTTTGGGGGGTAAAGGGCGGCTGATGCATAGGGCTGACAACTTGCTGCCATCTATGAGCTGATTGTCTAGAAAATGTGGGAACCTCAACATCTTACAACCCTATGGGCCTCCACGGCCTGTTACAGGGATACCTTTACTTTTTACTTTACTTACTTATAGTAATAGAGTATTAAATTATATTGAAAATAATGTATTTGAGAATGTGTTGGAGCTGATGGGTTTGATTTTCAGTTCCATGTCCTAATATGGGATAGTTGAAAACCTCTCTTCAGGACTCTTATGACAGCTCTGAAGAGACAGGTCCCATAACTAACATGATCCTGGTATAGACATGTAAGGACTTTAGGTAGTTAATGGATTACTAGTGGGAAAATTGTGATAGTTTACATATACCATCTTTCCAGTAATTTATTAACTACATAAATTATTTTTTCAGTGAGGTGTTCAAAGCCAAGGATAAGAAGACCAACAAAAAATTTGTTGCTATGAAGAAAGTTTTAATGGATAATGAAAAAGAAGGAGTAAGTGGAAGTTTACAGTGAAACATTTTGGTTAGAAATGAAGACAGTTATTGTTGTTATTTGGTTTTATTGTTGTTGTTATTTATCTATATTTTTCAGTTCCCGATCACAGCCTTGCGGGAAATCCGCATTCTGCAGCTCCTGAAACATGAAAATGTGGTTAACCTTATAGAAATATGTAGAACCAAAGGTTTGTGTATACTTTATTCTTTAAATTAAAACTGGAAAAAGTAATTTGTACAGTGTTTGTTCTATTTTTAATTTTTTTGCATTTTTAACAAAATATTAATCTGTCAGCACTTTGTGCCATTGTATTTTTCCTTATAGGCCTATTTTCCTTGTTTTCTGAGGAAGGATAGGCTTATGTTGCCTCTTCATTTATATGTGTAATTTGTATTATATTTTCCAGCCAATCAGTACAACAAGTATCGTTCAACCTTCTACCTGGTGTTTGATTTCTGTGAACACGACCTAGCTGGCCTCTTGTCGAATGTTAACGTAAAGTTTAGTTTAGGGGAAATCAAGAAAGTAATGCAGCAGCTACTGAATGGCCTGTACTACATCCACAGTAATAAGGTATGTATAGACAGTAAGATTAGAATTTTGGAGTGTCGTGTGTCTGCTGTAAGTTAATCAGAATGCAATGACAGGTATCATAACCAACTGTTGAGTATCAGACCTGAGCAGTCATGCCTTGATAGCAAGAGGATTTGTAATTAGATTTATTTAACACTTAACAGGTAACTGTAACAGTTGCATGGATCTACACACTACAAATCAATGCTCCAAACATTAAGGCTTCTCTGTCTTCACCAGGCCTTTGCTACATTACAGTTCCAAACACTGGAGATTCTTCTCCTTTTATGCTTACATCGTTGCTGGCTGGCTCCCATCTCACAACTAACTAATTTGGTTGGTTGGTCACTTAAATTGCTGATGGCCTTCACAAGCAAAGCTTCAGTCTCCTTGAGATCCATGACCAAGATATTTCTCTTTCCTAGACATGTACATGTTTGAAAATGGGGTCTCTTCTTCGATAAAAGAAGGTGTTGGTCTTTCTATGTAGGTGCCATGTTTGTTGCACCATAGTTTAAGCATGAGTATATCTACGCTGTCACGGCATCCTGGTCACTATGGTCTCTGTGCATCCTGTTACTGCACTATACTGAGTAACATTTATGGAAAATATACAGACGTTTTCTGTCAGCTGAACGGTCATAGGCTACACTGCCGCCAAGTTTAGGCATATCTCACATTGAACCTTTCACCTCCAAAGTCACTCTTCAGAACTTTTAAATATCTTATTGCCACCAAGTAGTTTGTTAAATTGAACTACTTGAGCTTTCAAAAGTACCCAATTTACAGGCACACTTTCACTGTGCTTTTGTAGGAACTACTTGTACAGACACACAGCATAACTGTTTTCACAAATCGAAGTCCTTTGTAGCCCTGCTTCATCTTCTGTGACCTCTGCATATAAATGCCATTAATCATCTGTCTTCACCGAACCACATATTATTCCCTCTGGAATTCCACACTTGTGGAATAAGCTAGCTTTTACTTGGGAATTCTTAACTCTTTTGATAATTTAAAATTTTTCTGTGATTGTATAATTTTGTCTTCCAGTTGTCATTGCTATAGGACTAGTCACTACTTAGTAATTGATAGCAGTGTGGTAATTTTATCTTCTCAGTGGCACAGCAAGATTTGAGACTGTTTGTGGTCAAGCAGTCAAAAGGGGTGCTTGTTAAATTTTGCTGTTTGAACAAAATAATTCAGAGGTTAGAGAAACCAGAAACATATAGCCTAATTTTGGTGGACTATGGACTTCACCCTCTATACCTGCAAACTACAGCAAGGAATGTTGTAATACAATCTTATACTGTAACTAAAATATTTCATAGAAATATGTATTTTTAATAAAATATGTAATCAGTCATACCGAGGGACATGATCAAAACCAAATTATAACAGAATCTGTGGTATAATGAGAGCCTACTATATCACGAACTGTTCTAGCTTATTTCCCCTTGATATTTTTTCAGATCCTGCATAGAGATATGAAGGCAGCAAATGTGCTTATCACAAAAAATGGAATATTGAAGTNTTCATTGGCACTTCATTTAGAATTTCTCTTAATTACACTTCCCCCCCCCCTTGGCACTACAGCCCCAGTGGGCCTAGGCCTACCTCCACGAACTCCATTCACTTCGGTTTTTCTAGATCTTACACATTCGGTAGGACTCCTTGAGCAAGTGATCAGCTCGTCGCAAGGCCTCTACCTGTAGACAAACACAGAAAAACTCACACAAACATCCCTGCCCTGAGTAGGATTCGAACCCACGATCCCGGCCTCCGAGCGAGTGAAGACAGTGCATGCCTTAGACCGCTCAACTACCGTGACCGGCCTTAATTACACTTAGTACAGCGCTATCGCTGATTTATGGAATTTACAGCTTACCTTTGCACATGCACTAGGATTCTCAGTTTCCACTCGTCATCTAGCAACGGATCTCAACACAGAAATTAGCACTTGAAATCCCTATGAAGTCTTCTTCCCATTTCTTGTTCAGTCGCCCTGGAACCTCGAAACTCAACAAAAAAGTCATCTTAGCTGCAAATGGGCTCGTGTTATATAGCTATGACAGCACAGAAAATGCAGTTATACTGTTGCATAGTGCAGACCTTGCAGGAAACACAAGTCACATGATTGCTAAGCATTATTTGGCTGTGATGTTGCGTCTGCACAGAAGTGTGTTTACTGAGCCGTTGCCTAGAAGTGGGTTGCATAACCCCATTATTCCATTGTTGCATGAATGTATTACTTAGAAACGGCTGATTCTGTGGCTCAGCCATTCTTGAATGGAGCAAATATGCCACCATACGCGCATGCGTGCGCACATGCACACACACATTACATTCCATGGATTTAATGTTAGTCAGTAGTCAGAAATTATAATAGTTTGTGAAAGAAGTCATAAAAACATGAAACCTATATGTGCAGCATAAGGGAATCTTTCACATCAAAAGTATACTGAGGGTTCATATAAGGTATTGAGGCACTTCAAATAGATCCACATGTCTACACCAGTACTGTCCGTGTATGCAGTTTATACAAACCTTTGAGAAGATTGTGAAGCTTAAATAAATATTCTGTCATAGCATCACGTTGTGTTATATTTCCAATTGTATTTAATTCCGTCAGCACAGCTTCTGCACAGATGCACTATACATTAATTATGTTCTACATGTTTCAGCCTTTCAGTCACCATCAGGTATTCACATCTGTGAGAACCTAAAATCTCCATTCATAGCTTTCTGTCTGCAGAGAACCTGGTAGAAGATGATCCATAAAACAGCAAATTATATGCATAGTCTTGGAAACTGTAGTACCGTGTAGTGTTTAATATAAAATTCTGTATTTATTTTTCAGGTATACGAATCGTGTTGTAACTTTGTGGTACCGCCCACCAGAGTTGTTGCTGGGTGATCGCAACTATGGGCCACCAGTTGATTTGTGGGGTGCTGGCTGCATTATGGCTGAGATGTGGACCCGAAGTCCCATCATGCAAGGGAATACAGAGCAGCAGCAGCTCACATTCATTTCTCAGTTGTGTGGCTCAGTCACTCCAGAAGTGTGGCCTGGAGTCGAGTCCTTGGAACTTTACAATAAGATGGAGTTACCTCGTGGGCAGAAACGTAAGGTATGTTAATGCAAAGCAAGATGGTCATTTACTTTTGGCTCAGTGTGAATAATATTTAAAAGATGATGTATCTGCTTATGCTGTTAATTTGAATGCAGTGAAGCAGTGTTCAGCTCTTGTAGAACCATATTGATTTCAGCGTTTTTAATATAGCAGATTGTGTACTATTCTTTTCTTGCTGGTAACAAAGATACCTTGCTGTGTGATAGGCTGCATTTTCGGTAAATTGTTGATTTAATTCTGAAATATTGTGATTGTATACTGTGTAATGCTTTGGCTCCTTGGATACATTTCTCCATATAACTGGTTTTCAATATAAAACTAGTAAAACTTGGAGAAACAAAAAGAGAATGGGGATATATGAAATTCAGAATCAATATTTTGAAACTCAAAAATATTCTGGACTTGTATAGGCCTGTAAGTGGATTTGGGTAGGGTAAACAGCTTTTGAGGAGCTGGGATAGTGTACTTCGTATAGAGACTAGATATGAGCTGGACAACTGAGGGGTTGGAGTTTGAGTCCTGGTAGAGTCAAGAATTTTCTCCACATTGTCCTGACCAACTTGGGCCCACCCAACCTCCTATCGAATGGGTACTGGGGGGCCTTTCATTGGAGGTAAAGTGGCAGGGAGTGAAGGTGACCACTCACCTCCAACTAGTGTTGAGGTCAAGAAAACGGATCTGTACATCCACTCCTCCATATGCCTTCATGGCATAGCACTTAATTAATTATCGTGGGGACAGCTTTACCTTTAACAACTTACAACCAACTTAGTAAAAGATGAGAATGGCAATCTTACTTGCAGATTCCCACAGTGTTCTGAAATGTATATATCTGAGCCATTAGTCCCTGAGCCTAGTTTTGATGCTGAAATTCCTGTTGAGTAATTTATTAGATATAAACTTGCACTTCAGATTCTGACATAATGATGTAAGCAGGAAGTAAAACATTTCCTTCTGTGATCTCTAGCTGTGTTAGTGATTTTAGAAGGAAGAATTGCTGCAGGAGTGGATGGAATGTGTTTTTTTCCTGTTTATAAAACTGAATTTTTGAGGAGCATAACCCTTATCAACCTTGTACAGAATTTTATCTAACTTTATTACCAAGTTTAGGCCTATATCCATATATAGGGTAAAGTTTGGGGGATCTTCAGTGTGAGCTTTGATGTGATAGAGCAGCTAGAGATCAGATATTCTGTATTCACAGGTGAAAGAGCGTTTGAAGCCTTATGTGAAGGATCCATATGCCTGTGATCTACTGGATAAGCTGCTGGTACTAGATCCAAGCAAACGCTATGATTCTGATTCTGCCTTGAATCACGACTTCTTCTGGACTGACCCAATGCCTTGTGATCTGTCCAAAATGCTGGCGCAACACACACAAAGCATGTTTGAATATCTTGCACCACCTCGTAGGCCTGGACATATGCGACCACACCATCACCACCAGGGTGGTGCTGGAGCAGCTGGTGCAGCTGCGAAACCATCTTCATCCATGGACAGTGGTTATCAAGACCGAGTTTTCTGATCAGCTTGAAATTTCAGTTCCAATGAACTGGAACAGTGTGAAGTTCATTACTCAGTACCTGAGCTCTTCCTCATAGAATTTTGACTTTTGTCTTTCATGCCTCTCAGTTCAATTGGTTATGTGTCCATGTGTGAGTGCGCATGTGTTATATTGAATCTTGATATTAGTGAAACCAAAAACCATAGTTGTATCCTTCTCAAGGAAAAGTAACACATTGATGTATAAGTATTTTAAGGTTTGTCAATCCTCTATAACCAGCAGACACTCTATTCAAGACATGGGAACATTTTCGGATTCCGTACTTCTGTAATCATGTCAGCTCCGTATTATCTCAATGTGTTAAGTTGCTGGATTTACTTTGCAGCATAGCCCTTGCCTTCTTATCCCTTGGCTCTCTGTATATATATTGTAACGTGTTTCGTTGCTGACTGTTTTGTTACTTTGACTTTGACAGTGAGGCGAGGAGCGAGATATACTAGTGACAGTGTGCCATTACCAAGGAACGACTAGTAAAAACTTGGCGCTTGCAGTATAATTTACGGAGTGTGTAGAATAGTGAAAGTGTTACAAATTCACAGACGGTAAGTCAGCTACACCAGGTCTTCATTGGATTTAGCGGTCTGAACGAAACCCGTGTTAGACGTACTAAATAGTATTTCGTAGTGTTGTAAGAAAAAGCCACGAAAATGTGGAAAATATCAGCCGTGATTCTAACATACGTAGCTTTTATGGTATTTCCCCAAGTAGGAACATACCCTAAAATCCCAGATTTCGAACTATCTACTGCACCTGGACCGATCTCAGCACCTGGACCCATCCCAATTCTGACACCAAATGTAACGTGTTTTGTTACTGAAGATGCCGTTCAGATTGTTAACTGGTTTATTTAACAACCTACAAATCACGGCTTCAATTAATTATAACAATATTGCGGGGTTTCGCAATTTATAACCCTATTCGCAAATCAAATCACGCCATTGTCAGTAGACTACACTTTCACAGTACGGGAGCTATACAAGTATCACTGTGTTACACACTCCCAATTAATTCTCAGTTATCACAAACTGTCACTGATTATCACACTTTTACTCATTCACTGCTGACTGGAGAACTGTCTTCGGCCGCTGATACACTTTAACTGACTGT